GTTCCAGCCGCATTTGGCAACATATAGTGGCAATATTGCGTCGAAACAGCAGTACGTCCGTCGTCAAGAAATATGTTTGCCTGTCGACAAACAACAACAACAAATTATGGAAATGTTGCTTCGCACCAGCACCATAGCTGTAGTTCAAACACAACGACTTACCCTCGTATCGTAACATCGTCTCAGCAACATGTAACAGCATGTTGCGGAAATCTAACGTCTCAGCAAGATGTAGCAGCATGTTGCGGAAATTAAGCGTCGTCACAGCAACAGAATATTGCAACGTCTCAGCAACACCACATGTATCCAACGAATCATCAACCAAAAATTAGCAGTTCCCCATATGAGCACATACATAATCCATATGGAAACGTAAAGGAGATCGTGACCTTGTTTCCCGAATTTAATCCGTCGTCCGATAAATCTCTGTACCCTCAACAATTTGTAAAACGTATTGAATCCCTACGAAACGCATATCATTGGGATGATCGCGCTCTTATTTTTAGTGTGCAACAAAAGATGCTAGGCGCAGCACGGTATTGGGTCGATACAACCGAAGAAGTCATCCAAACGTGGTCGGACTTCGTAACGAAATTCCTGAGAGATTTTCCATGCGTCGAGAACATGGCTGATATACACATAAAAATGTCAAAAACACGAAGAGCGAACGAGACAGCTCAAGACTACTTTTATAAAAAGGTGAGTTACCAGATTCAGCCATTGCTACACATATCATAAATGGGTTCAACGATTATGACTAAAACGAAAGATCTCCAATAATTATGCATCTTGTAACGAACTACTACGCGATATATTAGCATACGAAGCTCATAACGAAATCAAGCATAGTACTTTCAGCACAACCAAAAGAGAATGGAAATTGCAGAGTGGAAAATCAAATGTAATACCAACGCCCCAACGATGAAAAGGGTGATAACGTAAAATGTTTTAATTGCAGAGAAGTTGGACACTATGCCTCAAAGTGCCCACAGCCACAACGTAAACAACGATGTGCCGTTTGTAATCGTACAACACACGACACCGCAAACTGTTCCGAGAAAGCAAAGACAAGCACTAAAGTAACCCAGATCGTCGAAAACCTCGAAAATGATATTTGTACTATAAAGCCATTTCGGTAAATGGCAACGGTACAAACGCTTTTGTAGATCCTGGTAGTACGCGCACTTTAGTAAGAAAATCGTTTGCCGAACAAGCGGGAGTATCGCAAAGCTGTGCGGTAATACTGAACGGGTTCGGTGGTGGAAAATTCTTCTGTACTCGAAAGCTTGTAGCGAAAATCGGAATTGATGAGAACACTTTTGAAATCGGAATGTTGATAGTCGATGATAACTTGCTTACCGAGAACGTGTTATTGGGCACAGATATTTTGTGTCGCGACGGTAATAAACTAACTATACATGGAAATGAATGCTTCGTTAGGAGAATTCGGAAAATACGTACCAGCGGAAATCAGGTATCGGTCGAGAATAATGTAATTGAGCACGTGGTAACCAAGAATGCTATATGCTTCGCGAACAAAAATGCTCTTTAATGAAAATGGAAATCGAGCTTATGTCCAACGTCCCGGTTTATACGAAACCGTATCGCATACCCTTCGCAGTAAGACCTGCTGTCGCAGAAATCATATCGTATCTGCTTGATGCTGATATTATTCGATCCTCAGATTCTCCATATGTTTCAGGTATCGTTCTTGTCAACAAAAGCAATGGTGAATATCGTCTATGTGTGGATTATCGCAAAATTAATAGCATCATGGTTAAAATACCCTTCCCTATGCCGAATCTGGAGGAACAATTTGCACAATTGTCAGGTAACGCATATTTTACACAACTTGATTTACGTATGGGGTATCACCAAATCGAAATCAGCGAATCATCGAAAAAGTATACTGCTTTTGTGACATCGGATGTGCATTACGAATATAACCGAATGCTTTTTGGGCTCGTAAACGCTCCAGCAGTTTTCCAATGTGTCATGAACGAAATCGTAAAGCAAATGGAACCGGGCGAGGTTCTGGCGTACTTGGATGACGTAATTATTCCAAGCGATTTATTAGAGCGATTTTTATCTATTATTCGAGATAGCAGCATTTTTGGGGCACGTCGTGAATAAAAATGGTATTACTCCGGGAGAAAATAAAATAAGCGCAATTCGGAACTTCAAACGGCCAACCAACATTACAGAAGTCCGTCGGTTTTTGGGTCTTACAGGTTTCTTTCGAAAATTCGTTGAGAATTATACCCTAATCTCACGGCCACTGACCAAACTCTTGCGGAAAACCGAACAACACAATTTTAAATGGACCAATGAGCAACAAGGAGCGTTTGACGAACTCATTGGCAAACTGTGTTGCGTACCTGTTCTTGTCCTGTATGATTTCTCAGCTTTTCACGAGGTTCATACTGACGCTTGCTCAACCGGACTTGCAGGCGTTTTGCTGCAGTCACACGATAAAAATAAGTGGCAACCTGTTTGTTATTTCAGCCGTCATTGTACGGATACAGAAAGTCGATACCACAGCTATGAACTCGAGATCTTGGCAGTAGTCGAAACACTTCAACGATTCAGAGTTTATATTTTGGGCATGCCTTTTCGATTGGTTACTGACTGCTCTGCGATTGCCAAGGCTAAGGCAAATAAGGAACTTATTCCAAAGGTGGCCAGGTGGTGGGTGAAAATTTTGGATTTTGATTTCGACATTTTACATCGCGAAGGTACGAAGATGGCTCTTGTCGATGCGATGAGCCGAGCTCCTGAATTATCGTCATAAAACGAATAAGTAAAAGTTGTAATAGATAACGTCGATGATTGGCTCTTAACGATGCAGTTGCAAGATCAGGCACTCGAAGAGATTATTGGTATCCTGAAGGGTCAACGTAAGAGCGAAAGATTGAAACAAATACAGAACGACTATGTTATGCGGAACAATCGTCTATATCGGAAGATCAACGAAACGTTAGGATTTGTCGTACCAAAAGCCGAAAGGTGGCGTATCGTTAAATTATGCCACGATGATGCTGGATATTTTGGTCTGGATAAAACAATTTCGAGAGTACAACAGAGATTCTGGTTCCCAAAAATACGGAAGTATGTAAAATATTACATATCGACATATATCCAATGCTGTTACTACAAATCAAAGGGAGGTAAACCTGAAGGACGTTTGCATTACGATGATGACGAGCCAATACCGTTTCGTCAATTACACTTGGACCATTTGGGCCCTTTTATACGCAGTAAGCGAGGAAATACTCATATTCTCGCAATTTCGGATTCGTTTAGCAAATATCTGATCGTGAAGGCAGTCAAGAGCACCAAAACGTTACCCGCCCTCAACGTTTTAAATGAAATATCGAGCTACTTCGGCCTGCAGAAAAGTATAATTACAGATCGTGGAACCGCATTCACATCAAAACAGTTTAAAGAATATTGCCAAAATAATCAGATTCAACATATAAAAACAGCCGTTAGAACTCCCTGCGCTAACGGGCAAGTTGAGCGCGCAAACCAAACAATGCTGACTTCGATAAGGACCATGACAGAAGCGCCAAAAGATTGGGATTTGACACTCCACAATCTACAATGGACGGTGAACTCACAGCGAAACGAAACATCAGGGTTCAGCCCAAATAATCTAGTGTTCAACTTCAAGGCGACCGACATCGTGCAAAATCAGCTGACGGCCGCTATACATGCTGATTTAGAAGTCCAAGCTGATGGCGAAAATATTATTGAAAAGCGAAACCAAGCAGCCGTTAATATCGCATCCGAACGATCGAAATGGAAGGAACGGTTCGACCGTAAACACTCTAATCCGTTCTTATATTCCACAGGAGATCTTGTCGTTGTAGAGAACGAACCAGCAGCTACTGTTGAGTCAAGAAAGTTGGAGCCACTCTACCGTGGACCATACCAGGTTACAAAGGTCCTCGGTAATGATCGTTACGTCATTGAAGATATCCCTGGGGTGCAGATTACAGCGCGTAAATATTGCTCTGTATATTCGTCGGATAAGATGAAGCCATGGTGTGCTAGTGTTCCGGAACTAGATGTACAATCCGACGACGACAGCCGAATCGAGGACGATTCTCTGTCAGGATTGGCCGAGCTGTCATCCGATAGAGACATCGAAGAATATTAAATGATCTGGCATCCCGACTCTTGCTACTCTTTAGTCTGCAACTTCTGCAGAGGAATAGTGTATAGCCGACGTCCAGGCTAAAACGTCACTAAATATCATATTACTTAATCTTGTATTATTAAGAAATAATCATTAAATAATTAAACTAATATCCACTGACTACATATTATTTGACCGAACATTTGGGATTACGAAAGGTATGTGCACGGTTTGTTCCGCACAAAATTGACTGACGACCGAAAATTGCTCTCATCGATCGACGCTTCTGATCGATTATTTGACCAAAAATCACATTTTAACCATTAAACACTAGCCGTATTCACCTGATATGGCACCGAGCGACTTCTACCTTTTCGGAAAAATGCATGTGCCCATGAAAGGAAAGCGTTATGCAGACGTAGAGGCCATTCAAAAGGCGACCATACCGGCCAACGAGCTAAAACATTCGTTCGACATGCTTTTGGATAGTGCAAAAAGCTGTATTGAAGCAGAAGGAGACTATTTTGAATAAAATAAATTGATTTTGCCGAAAAAACCATTTGCTCTGTTTTTTTTTTTCTTGAAAGTCCTGTTTACTTTGGAACACACCTTGTACAAGTATAATCTGAATTAAAAAGACAATTAATTACATATTCAAAAATATATAAATTTATCGTGAAGCTAGGGCGTATCAGCTGATAACTACAAATATTGGAAGCGTTAACATGCTTTTTTGTATAAGTTATTTAGAAAATTCGAATAACAAAGTAACTGTAACGTACCCAATATCAGTTTAATCACAATATACAATATACAATTATGTTAAAAAAAAAGATCTGAAACAGTACAATTTCCAGAATTGTTTTAGTCTTGCTGATATTTGCATGTCGCTGATAAAGGAATTGGGTTAAATCCCATTTATAAGCTGAGTGGGTAATATAAAGTGCGTGTCAGGGTAGCTTTATCCAACTAGAATCATAAGTGCTGATATTCGTTCATTTCATACATCGTAGGCATTGCACCGATGTGCAGATGTGAATAAGTCACGACAGTTGGTAACGGAGGCATTTGTGCAACTGTGACCGTTTCTGCGGGGTTGAGGCCATTACTGTCTGTCACTGAAGTTATTGCAACACTATGATGAAGCTGTCGTTGATGATGTTGCAGGCTTTGATCCTGTAAAGTGGATGGTATAGATGAGTGTTGCAATTGGCGTTGATGCAGACTGTTACTGCTCGGCGATAGTTGTTGCTGTTCGTGGATATGCTGTGGCGTGGTTCCACCATGTTGTGAACACTGACTAGGTATTATATTGCCATCTATTTCAGAATCACTAGATGAGTCAAGATGCTGTTTTTCCGTTGAACCACTGTAAAATGTTTTAAAATAAATTTTTAATTTTCAAATCGTATTATATCAAAATCGTTTAAAAAAGACCGTGTAAAAACAGAATTAGGTGTATTAGGTTTTTGCAAGGTATGTAACATGCAAAAGGGAGCATCTGAGACCCCATAAAGTATATCTATATATATAAACCAGTTTGTATTACTGACTGACTGACTGACTGATTGGTGATCAACTTACAGCCCAAACGGTAAAAGCTAGGTGCGCACTAAGAAGGGATTTTCGAAAATTGGAGCTCCAAAATGGAGGAAACAGGCTCCAAAGTTTGTATGCAATTTCTACAATTTGCATCTGTATAAATAATTATATAAAAACTACATACTTGGTTTTTTTAAAGTTTTTCTTGGGGCCTGAAATATGAGTGTTTTTCTGTAAAAACAAGAGAGAACTCTACCGTCGAGCAAGCCCGACAGTGAAATACCTTGTACCCAGGTAAACTTCTGGCACTGAGATATATACGCGTCTAGCAGAAGCAAAAGAAAGAAGAAGAGCGAACTTGAAGTACCGAAGTAAAATTATTTCGCTAATAACTTTTCTTAGAACCAACCGATTTAGATTAAATTTAAAACAAAAGTAGATAATCATATATTCAATCACGGTTTTACACGAACGTGAAAATGCGACAAAAATAAAAACTACACGACCAAAATATAATTTAAAATTAGGATATACTCTAATAATTATTCCAGTTTATATGTATGCATATGTATTTTATTGTTGAAAAAATCAAGGCATTTGGAGAGCATATCCAAAAAATAATAATGTTAATGTTAGCCACATTTGCATAAAATAAATAAATATTTTGCGAAAAAGTAAAATATTATGTAAATTAAGAAGTTCCTGACGTTGGTGATTATTATGTTCGACCGACTAAGGATTTATTATTCAATTAACACAGTGCATTGTTGCACTAATAAAAGACAAGAGCTCGTGTATTCCGAACGGTTTAATATCCAAAAGTCAACTAACTACTAAGAACATTATTTCTTATAACTAAAGCTAGCCCTGTACCTCAAACATGCTGACACTGCGCCTCGTGCATGGTGTCGCATATCAGCTGCTTACATCGCGGAGCGTTTCACTCCTTGTGCAATATCCGTGCTATCCAGCTCTGCTATGTCGATTTGGCAACTTCTTTGTCGCTGAGTGGTCATGTTAACTCCTCCCCCACTTAAGTGGGGGACGTCCTCGGACTTCTGATAACAATCGATGACAGCCAGGATGTCTTGTTGACTTCGAAACGCCTGACGCTTCTTGTATAATTTGAAAGAGGCGTAGCAACAAACCAAAAAGGTAGTCACAGTCAATCCAGATATTATGGTCTGCTTTATCGGTTCATTCGATTTCGCCAATGTAATGCGTGTTTTCGAGACTCAGTCTTTATAAGTATGGTAGGCTTAATATCTCCTGGTGGGATTTTATGTTGACCAACATTGACGCTGCTGGGCCAGGATACACATATCTCTTCAGGTTACGGTATAAAGAACCAAAAAGAAATCTTCGTCGAAGGTAAGGAGGAACGTGCCGGTTACAATTTGCACTTCGTTATCACTAGTCGTGATAGCCGCTGTTTCGTCTTTGATGATGATGACGCCGTCGTCGATGACCGTGCATGACTCGAGATGGCTGGGTCGAGTGGTGCAATGGGCCGTGCCACCAGAGTGTAGTTGTTGAGCGCACGTAGTATAGGGCAATCTTCTACAGAAAGTTGTTGTGAGCGCAGCGCTGCAGTTCCCGATTGGAAATATTTCATTCCCGCAATCGGCTATGATGTTTTCGTCAGCTATGTTAAGGATGCTGTTATTGTGTTGTACAGGGTACAAGGGAATCTTCTTACATATTAAACTTGGCTTAGGGTATTTAATTAGAAAATGTAAAAAATTATTACTTAGTATAACTCTGATTTGGGCTACTTCCATCAAGTCAGCAATGGTTATGTTCGTAGAACGCTCATTGATTATGTTATTTAAATGATTAGTGTCTAATATTGCTGGGTTAGTAATTCCAATCTTTGTGAGTGTAACAGATAACATTAAAGTTTTAAGTTCCGAAATTAATATTCTATTTCTTGAGAGCAAAGTTTCGTATAAGTGTTCTGTGTTTATATGGCTATTCTTTGAATTCTTTATTAGCATGTTTACTGTGTCTGTTAACTTATTTAGCTGTCATTGCGTTTTTGTATTAATATTTACCTATTTGCAAATTCAATGAGCTCCTGTTGCGTCAGTTTCAATTTTTCAAAGTCGTCAAAATCTGGAGTCCCAGCTATTACCTTTAAAACAGTGCCTAACATATTAATGCTTCTTGAGTGCCGATGGTGAATGTCTATTATTGCTAAGAGTGTTCTCGTGTGTAGTATGTCCGAGTCTAGTATCTGTCTCATGTGTGATTAAAGAAAATGATTCCTCAACTTCTCTGTTTCGCCCATCATTTCCGCGTACATTGTTAGATTAGTCGAGTGTTTTAAATATTGGAAATCTTTCCAAATTGTTGTGTCTCCGTCCATGATTGGTATGTAGTCCGCATTCGAGTAGTCAGTCAGTTTAGCGTTTGTCATTGTGACAAGAAGTAGCATAGTCCAGATCTTAAGTAAGAAAGGAAACCCACATTATAGTTACCTTATATTATCCTTATGAACCACCCTCCCTTTAATCAAGACTGTGTTCCCCAAGTCTGCTTCTACCGTTTCTTCATTGTACAAGGATGTTAGTTTATTTCCCAGTCTCCTATTTGATCTTACGAGGACTCTGTCCCCTACTTGGAAATTTCTATTTTGTCTTACTTCATTTAACCTTTGCATTTGTATATTCTGTGCTTTAAGGACTTTATCTCTCATTTCTGCGTCAAGCTCTGGAGGAGAAGAATGAATCACATCAATAGGTCGTTTGAATGTATTGTCCGGTTGTATTCTATAGTTGCCTGAAGTATTAGTTCGGTTGTATCGGCAATATTTCTTTCAGCTCTCAGACATCTTGCGATTTCAACAAGAGTACTATGGAATCTCTCTACCTGTCCATTCGAAGTGCTATGAAGCGGTGGTGCGTTTACAACCTGAACGTTAAATCGATTATTTAGAAGTGATTTTATTGTTTCTGATTTTATGGAAGGTTCGTTATCGCAATATCTTGTTTTAGTGTACTTGTAGAAGTTCATGAGCTGCAAGATTGCCGACTGTATGTCTATTATTGTTTTGGAGGCGATAGGTTGGACAATCGAAAACTTTGAAAGCTTGTCTATACAAGTGAGGAAATATTTCTTGTCAGTTGAAAATATGTCGACGTGCAATATCTCGCCCACACGCAATGGAATAGGTGTCTCTCCAAGTACCTGCTTCTGAGGGTGCCGATCATACTTCTCTTTTTGAAAAATTCTGCAATATGCAACCACCTCGTTTGCAAGTTGGGTCATCTTGGGAAAAAAATAATCTTGGAGAATCTGTTTACGTTTTCTTGAGCGGCCCTATGAGCTCTATTGTGCTCTGTGAAAACTATTTCTTTCTTCTCGCCCTTATTCAAAATATCGGTTACCATATGTTTTGCATAACGGAATGTCGTCGTAGGGTATGTTTCTATTAGTTTATGTTGAATGAATGCTAGTGTTGGTAGTTCACAGAAAATTGCGTTTACTACGTCCTTCTTGACCGCGTTACATACCCTCTGAATTAACGTTTCTCTACTTGAGAAATGTATGAGGTGACGAGTTTTCTCACCAAACATAATAACAGTCCTATCTGAGGCAGATCCACCTTCTTCTATTACTATTTGATTTCGAAAGCAGTTGACTGGTTTGTCTGTTGATTCAACAGTGTAAGTGAGTGACAACTCGTTTTGTATCGTTGCAATATCGGACTGTGCATCTTCCTCCAAAGCGTGGATGCCTTGTCTTGACAATGCATCTGCAACGCAATTTTCCTTCCCTGGCTTGTAAAATATTTGAGCATTATGCTCGTCTCGGTAGCAAGGAGTTGTTCCTAAAAAATTAACTTGGTCGTACACTACAAGGTCATCATTAATGTCATCTGCCTCTTGGTTTGCGTCAGTCTGGTATTCAAAAGTGTCTGGGTCCGGCAGAGAGTCATCTTGGATCAAATGATTCATTCTTTGGTGTTTTGGTCCCGTAAACCTTGCAGTTCCACTGTTTGGTCTTTTGTCAGCCTGTCCCTGAGTGTTAGTATTACCCTGGATTTGATACTGCATGACTTGTCTAAACCTTGATGAATTGTCTACTTCCATTGGTTGAGGTTGTTCTTGCCTCTGAGGAGGTCCGTTAGGAGGTGCAATTCGTTTACTAAAGTGGGGGTTTTTCCAATATGTGTTATTACCGTTTTCCCCTGCCGGTATTCTGTCTCTGGCTTGTTGCCTATGTTCGTTCCTTTGGGCCTTTTCCTCAATACTTCGAGCATAATTACTGGCGAATGTGTAGCGTTCGTGATTAGATTCAACCTCTTGGGCCACAGCCAAAGCGGAAGGAAGATCTTTCGGTCCTGCCGAAAACAGAACGTTGCTCAAAGATTTCTTAGTTCCTGAAATGAACACTCGTAAAGCATCCATTCTATATTTTTCATTCAGTGCGACAGCTATGGTGTTGTCGTAAGTCATGATCGTTTTGTTCGTTAATAAGGTGAGTTTCTGTTCTACTTCGTCGTAGTACTGTAGGAGTGTCAAATTTACCTGTTGGAGTGTCGACATTTCTTGCTCTATTAAATATATGGGGCGTTTGTCCGCATACGTAAAGTCAAGTCGTTTTATAATCGCTTTAAAATTCAGGGGCGTGTCGAATGATGCTAGTACCATGTCAGCTGGTCCCTTAATCTTGTTTCTCATTATACCTAAATGAACTACCGTCATATTTTTCGTAAGTTTTATAGGCGGTGTGTGCCGCTTTCCTCCATGAGACGTACGTCTCATTTTTTCCTTCGAAGTCCGTGAAAGATTTCACAATGTCTAATGTTTCACTGCACTTAAT